AATCAATGGATATTAATCAATCAACGATCATTTTCTTTCTCTTTCTTGGCGAGAAGTTGGTAAATATCGATCGAAATAAGAATATCACAAGTTTCTTCACGAATATCTTGAAAGTCGAAGCTGAGCGGTTACACGTGCTGGAAGAAATTTGCTCAAAATTTTGATTGCTCTCAGTCGGTCGAAATCGATGGATCCTCGTTCGTATGATCTACCAAATTCCTTCATCTTCTTTTGCTTCTTTCTGTATAATTATCCACCAGCAGTGTACGTGCGTTCAATCGATGTGAATCGATCGTCGAACGATCGTTCGCTTCTAAATTCCCCGGTAAAATTCAGCATTTCCCGACTGACGCTCGCGGTGTGTGTAGCGCAGTCCCTCCGGTTTATCCGGCGTGTGCATTGCGACGTGACCTTAATGGAGCCCTGGAAACGCAGCTGCACCGGCCGACCACTAATTTGAGGTCTTTGTTAACGCAAGCGAGAAGCTCCGTGCGTCGAGTGGCTCCTTTGAAACGGAATGAAAATCGACCTTTCAGGGATGAAATCCTCCCTCTGCGGCGAGCTGTGTATGGCTAAAGAGACGAACGTAGAACGACTCATAAAAATGAAAGAGAGGAAGAGAGAGAGACGATAAACCCTAGATTTTTGATGCAAAGTTCAACCGGGTGTTGGCGGAGCAACTCTCGTGAGCAATGAACCTCGGCTGAATAGGCTAGGAAATTTTTGACGGAGATCTTAATTAGAACATCGTGCGTTTCTCCCTCGGAAGCGCCCGTTCAACCACTCTCTATATTGTCTCTCTTCCCGCCCCCTTCTCCCTCGAGTTGTGCAAAAATTTGTGGTTCGTCGAGATTTTTACGTGACACGGCTTTAATTAAGGCTATCCAGTTGCGGCAGCGTGTGATACCCGAGGTTTCACGCTGACTCGCGCCGAGCCTAGCAATTACGCCTCGCGTGTTCCCGCGTGTACCGGGACATTTTTCAGTTTCTGTGATATTTAACGGCGGGATATTTATGAAGTGTTTGGTTGATGAACTTTTATGCTCTGCCAGAAACGTCGAGCACTCAATGTTCGTGCTTTGTTGACTTTGCGTGCGAACGTTAATGCCTTTACGCGGTAACGCAAGTCGTGCATCGCGAATCCCTCTCATTCGGCGAAAAATCCGTGCAAATATTATCGCGAAGCGAAAAGTTGACAGAGCAATCGAATCAAGCTCTGTCTTTGTTAACCGTGGATGAGCACACGGGCGATACGAGTCAATATCTCGAACCGTAGACGACATCTCGATATCTCGAGCGGCTCATCCCCAATCCCGGCCGATAGTATCTAATTGTTCAGCCCGATTGTGCGGCTGGCCGATATTCTCAGTTTCCTGGTTGTAACAGTGGTACGTACTCGGAACAATGGACACGCACGGAAGCGCGTTTTTCGAAGAAATGTTCACTGGAATTTCAAGGATTTGACAAACTGAGACAAATGAAATTTTGTCGACGTAGCTACTGCAGATCGTAAAATCGAGTTAAATATGTGTATGAAATACATACGAAGAGGAAGAGGTTCGTAGGGATTTTTTTCAAACAAAATTTCTCTCTCTCTCTCTCTCTCTCTCTCGTGGTTCATGCAATTTCTTCTAACGACTTCATGTAAACCGAATTTTACATTTTACTGTACTCTGAAAAAAAAACGGGTTCGACGAGTTTCATTGGAGGAGAGGCGGATGAATCGCAAAGCGCCGTGCACTGGACCATCTATTCCGATTGCGAGCACGCTGCACGCAAAGAAAAGAGGAAACACGAAATTCCTCTGGCCAGGAGCGTTGAAAGCTTAGGCAGTTAATCACCACGCAGTTGAAATCGAGTTCTCGTAGGCGTCTGTCGCGGAAACACACACACACACACACACACACACACACACACACACACACACACACACACACATACACATACACATACATATACAGACACGATTCTCGCGTTGACAGACGGAACATGAAACAATTTGCGAACGGAACCTCGTTTCTCCACTCGATCGATGCATTGTTGCGTTGGATGACGCGATTTTAAAGGCCGTGGCACGTACACAGGCGCTCGTTTGTCAATATTCTACGTTTGAGGCAGAAATACATATCAATTGCGCCGACACACCCGCGGACCAAGCAAATTGATGTAACGAGGAGTGGTAACGCGCATAAAGAAACTATGTTACAATGGATAATGCGATGAAATAACAAAGATTTTCGTGTAGAACAATACGAGACTCGTAGCGAGAGAAATTATTCAATTGCTGTTCGTTGAAAATGAACGATTCGACGGTCATTTGGATTTAATTGAAAATATAATATTTTGGATTCTTTTGGTTGTGTATAGGGATTAATTTTATACTGAAGTTCTCAAATAGGATGTATTTTATTATGGCAATTGATTTTCACAGTGTTATATTGATCTTGTTTGGTCCGAAGAGAGTACACAGGTCTTAATCAGCTGACGTGATCATATTAAGTTATTTGACGAACCGATCGAAGAAATGTTTTCAACGAGTAAATACTAGAAAGAATAAGAAAAGAGAAGCTTTCAAATCTAAAATCAATAGTAAATGTAATAATAAAAATATACGAATAAATAAATAATTAAATTGTATCGTATCTTTGCTGTTCATTCGGAAATGTCACGGTGTTTGTATAATAGATTGAAATTGAATTGAATTGAACCAAGAGTGTTGGGATCAATTTTGATTTGTTTTAGATCGATAGAGCATTTGATTGAAGATTTTTCGGAGTACAGGATTCTGCATCATACGATTGCCTACAACTTAGAACACTTTCTGAACTTATTTTAACTAAATGATCAGCACAGAAAATTTTCAAGTTGCATTTGCAAACGATTAAAACCATTCTCCTGTAAATTTTGTGAAGCTTTCGTCTGGATCATCAATTTTCACAGTTACTCTAATTTACCTCGACATTTTTCCTCAACGATCAAAAACGATTGAGAATAATTTCCTCAACAATTCTTTTGAAAATCAAAAAAAAAAAAAAAAAGGAACATCTTTATAATTTATACGGTATAAAACTATCAACACCGTAAATTAAACGCACCACTAAATACGACTGTTTCAACAAACGATCGCAGAACTGTACGCTATTGCGTCAATCACGCGAGACGAACGCGAGTGTACCTCGCTGTTTCGAAATCGCTTGAAAAACCAGCCTCGTCTCTTTGCAGCGGATTCCCGGAAATATTCGTCGACGTACGTGACGATGATCCTCGTATGTGACGGAACCCGTAGACACGCGAAATTTACCGCGTTTAATTAAGATTCCTATTGAAATTCGACCGTTTCAGATTGGCCGTGCGAGACAAAGCTCGTTTCGTACCCGTGTAGTTGCGAACGATTCACGGAAATGACAAGCAGTCGGGTACATGTGTCTCAAAGATTTCGTGCAGGATGATAGAATTTCGCGAAGACGAATCTTACGTACGTTGCCTTTCAACTTCTCTCTATTTCGCTTCTCACGATGTTCACGGTCGATTGTAATTCAAGAGAGAAGAGACAGACAGAGAGAGAGAGAGAGAGAGAGAGAGATTTATTGCGTCGTGACTGGTATACCGTGCGATAGGTATGATATGATATGATACGATATGTGCGATAGTAGCTTAGCATTGAGATATGTGAGATTGAATATGGAATAGCTTGTATATTGCGCGAGCTGGTGCCAGGGACGTTTCAATATGTGAAGGTTTCTTAATCGTTATAATTAGACTGTAAATTTTTAAGAAACTTGGCACATACGAGAATCTTCAAAGACGCAGAGACACATATAATATATATAATTTCCAAAATATACTAATATATCTTAATACTTCCTAGATAAATTAATCTTCTATTTTTTATTGCGTAGAACAACAATAACCTGTCTTTTTGTATAATTATGTTTTCAATAAGCAAAAGAGTGAAGAATGAATTGATTATTTATTCTATAAATCACTGCTTTCAATCTGGCATTCGTGGTTAATTCGATTTGCGTATTCGTCAGATTTATTGGAACGATACGGTGAATTCAAGTGTTTCATTGAGAGAATACCTACGCCTAATAAAGCTGTGTTACGATCGTGCTTGTTCGAAGAGTTATTTTAACGCGGCTCGTTCCTCTAGAACGATGACTTTAATTAAAGCAGTATGAGACACGGAGCAATTAATGACCAACGACGTAGTTTAAGAACTCGATACCACTTGTGTCCGTAATGAAAAAACTTCGACCCCTTGGCTGAAAGAAAAAGAGAACCGCGTTGCTCCCTTTCATCCGGAAGGGAGAGTGTTCTTTTAATGAAAGGGAAACGCCAGTTTTTCTTCGCGTAAATTAGAAAGAGGATCGCACGTGTTGAGTAACGCATAAATCACACAGAAGTCGATACATCAAGATACAGCGTGAAAAAGAGTACTTTCTAAATTTATCTTGAAACTCGTGAAAATAAATTCTCTGCTTTTATTTTTAGATGAATATTGATTATGTAGATACTATGAATTCTACTGAGGTGATAGTGTATTCTGAGCTATCTACAAAACTGGTCAAACTTTGCGAATTCTTCTCATAAATAATTACCAAATAAAAATTTCCAATTCTTTTCGAAATACGTGAACTCTCGGCTTTATATTGTTACAAAATTTAGGAGGCTTTATATTGTTACTAACTTCGTTAGTCTTAAAAGTTCACAACTAAAAAATTCTTATGCATTTAAAAATGGAAATTAGAAAGTCGATACTTCGATTATTTAAATCGCTGGAAATTACATTTATATGATACATTACGAAAGATTGTAAGGATTCATTTGATAAATACTTGTGAAAAGAAATCGTAAACTTGCCCTGGTCTATCTCTTTAATCGAGCTCCGGAGAAGTTATTAATACGTTATTAATCAATTTTTTTCTGATGTAATTTTAATTACATACAATCGATGAAACGTAATAATTAATTAACAATTCACTTTCGTCTTCTTTCAGGGAGGTACGTACGGTCGTGCTCAACAAAGGTTCCTCCGGTCTGGGTTTCAATATTGTCGGTGGCGAAGATGGCGAGGGAATTTTCATTTCATTCATCCTAGCCGGAGGTCCTGCCGACCTCAGCGGTGAACTACGCCGTGGCGATCAGATACTCAGTGTCAATGGCATTAATCTTCGGACAGCCACCCACGAAGAGGCCGCCGCGGCCCTTAAGGTATCTTCAAGTGCCGATCTTCTTACGAGTTCGTTATTCGTTATACCAGTGATTAGAAATTGCGATACTTGTGTGTTGTTCAGGGTACCGGGCAGACAGTGACGATCGTGGTACAGTACAAGCCCGAAGACTACAACAGATTCGAGGCCAAGATCCATGATCTTAAACAACAGATCTCTCAGCAGAATTTGATGACAGGCACCCTCATGAGGACCTCGCAAAAGAAATCGCTTTACGTTAGGTAAGATTGAAAGGAGAAAAAAAAAAAAAAAAGAAAAGGAAGATTAATCCTCCATCCATTGTGGTTTTCAAAATATAAAGATAGAAGTCTGATTTATTTTTAAATAAAGTTGTCAAAGGCAAGAAATCCAGTTGGTAATTGATTTTGCATCCACTTTCACAGAGCGTTGTTCGATTACGATCCTAACAAGGACGACGGGCTGCCGAGCCGCGGTTTGGCATTCCGTTACGGTGAAATCCTACACGTGACGAATGCCAGCGACGATGAATGGTGGCAAGCTAGAAGAGTAACTCCTCAGGGCGAGGAGGAGGGTCTCGGCATAATACCGTCACGCAGACGATGGGAACGGAAGCAACGCGCCAGGGATCGTTCCGTCAAGTTCCAAGGCCACATGCCGGTCATCCTCGACAAGGTGAGCTCGTTCAATCGGTTGCGCGTGAAATCAAGAAGAAGGACGATACGATCGGATCGATATCATATTGTTAGTTGCAAATGAAAATAACTTACAATTAGAAATGACAATTAATTAAGAATTAGAATAGTAATTCAATTAAAAATTGGAAGGATTAATTTTTAATTGACAATTAAAAATAATTTAGATTTGGAATGCGAAGCGTCAACTTCGAATTACTCGAAACATGATCTCTAACAGTATTTTCACTGTAAAAGACATTACTAAAGGTATCTTGTACTGCCACACACGTACAGTCACTGATGATTATTGAAAAATATTTTTTCAACGTAAAAAGAGAGAGGTAAAAATCTAAAGTATTTAACAAAAAAAAAAAAAAAATGGTCGTTTTCTTCGCAGCAATCGACACTGGATAGAAAAAAGAAGAACTTCTCGTTCAGCAGGAAGTTCCCGTTCATGAAGAGCAAGGATGACAAATCCGAGGATGGGTCAGACCAGGAACGTGAGTGTCTTGAAAAAAAATGAGCAAACTCGTATCCTGCACGTTCTGTGCATGTTCAGATCCGTATATATTATCTATTGTGGTTTTTTACGTGACAATTTTTTTCTTTTTTTTTTTAATTCTCGTCGTATTTCTCAGTCACTATATATATATACTGTATTATCTAGATCATATGTTTGAACTTACAATTAGTACTTTTTACGTGTGTCTTGATATTCCCGATTGCAACGATATTTCTATGTTTGTTTGTTTTTTTTTCTCTTTTTTCTTAAACGTAATCCATCGAACGAACTGGACAGAAATTAACTCTCGAACGATTTAAAGTTACTAAATGTTCGTGAACTCCATTTGTTTTCCCCCTTCGTTCGATCGTTTTTTATCTTCTTTTTTTTTTTACTTTCACTCCTTTCGATCGATCGACGTGTTAACATAGAGAGTGTTCTTTCTATTAAACATGTATCAAAGCCAACCCAGCGATTAAAACGAGAAAAATAAAAAAGAAAATCGCGAAACGTCAAACGAAACGAAACATACGTGATCTCTTCGAATCGCGATTTGCGCGTTCAAAGATGCGTGTCGGCACCGTTTAAGCATACTCGTGACAGGTACGACGAATACGCCCAACTTCCGATTGAGCTTTTGTGTTTTTTACCATGTGAAAACGTGACATGTGTTTTGTTTTTGCCTGCTTGTGTAGGGTCGCCCACGACACCCGAGAACGAAAACGATCCTACACGTAAGTATTCCAAGTTAGTCAACAAGAAGAAACAAGATACAATCACACGACACATCTGTACACACACCTGTACACGGTTATACCATACACGAGACACACGCGAGCGCGTGCACATATGTACATTTCTATTTCATTCTTTTCTTTTCTTTTTTTCTTTTTTTTTTTTTCTTAATACGAGAAAGTCAATCAACGAAAAGAATCGATACGTTAGAGGAAAGCAAATTTTCTCGAAGAGAGACAGAAACGTTATCAACGACCCTGTGAACTTAGTTAATACTTCTCGAGATGTCTCTTCGCTCTTTCGTACATATTCTCTTCTCTGTGCTTGCGTCCAAACATTCTGCAACTTCATCCCTGCACCTAGTATATATTGTCGTGCCGTTTGCCTGCGTTTGATCAACTAACACCGCGATCGCGGCTACAAGTCTCAACGCTTTCACTCGACTCGCTTCTTTAACTGGCTAACCCCTTCTCGATGGATCGTGTAGTTGTGATAGAACCACCCTCGTATGCTTTGTAGAGGTAGCACGTGTGTAGCAAGTCGATGGTGAACGGAAGTTGTAACGTTGCTCGTTCACGTTCCTTCCGATCTTCGCGCGAGCACGAAAGAATTTCCGTGAAATACCCGAGGAACTTTATTAAAATACCCGCCACTTGTTGAATTCTTGACGAAAGCTATTACTATTATTGTCCTTATTATCGGCATCATTGTCTCTACTATCTCTAAGTCGTAAACCACTTGCGCTGGCAACGGACCATAACGAGTGACCGAACCGTATACAATAATTCGCCGCTTTCTTTTTGAACTCGTCAGTATATATCACTGGATAGAAATTATTGAAAAATAATAAATTCATTATTTGTTTTGCCTGGATTATACTTAAAACTGAGAAAATATTGCAATTTTCCGATAAAAAAATTCTCGACGTGCGTGGCGCATGTCGTTGCAGCGCAAGAAATTAAACGTTGCGTTCAACGTTCCCGAGTGTCTGCGTAGAAACAGAATTCTAGTCTGTGACAAGAGAAACTGTTCGTAGAAATACCAATTGCCGTTAGAATTTCCAGTAGAAGCACCTTTTTTTGAACACTTTGTAACACTTTAGCGTCAGTTTTTTTGAATCGTGGAAATCAGAAAATCCTGTTTCGCCTTGTAAAATGGACAGTGGCCGTTGAACGATCGTTAATTCATGGCTAATTAACGAAACGAGCGGACGATAACAAGGTACGAGAACGAGACTCGCGCGCGCCGCGGGAAGACGAGCGATTACAACGGGCCAATCAGGGCTATTCGAAAAGCTCGAGCTGGCCCCGGTAGGGTCGATGATTGTTCATGCTTAAAGCTTAATTAATCCTAGCAATTATTAACGGCCGCTTGTTAGTACGCAACGTATACTGAAATATTGAACTTGTTATGTTTTAGCATTCATGCTGTGCTACACCCAGGACGACACTAACACCGAAGGTAATCACGTCTCTCTCTCTCTCTCTCTCTCTCTGTTTATTTTTCTCTCCTCACTTTGTCACCTATTTCTTTCTATTTCTCTCTTTCTCCCTGTCTCACTCATTCCTATATATTTGTATCCTCTCTCTGTTTGCCTTTCATTTCAGTCCCCATTATACATTCCGACCTATCCCGTTCCACCTCTCCTCCTCGTTCTCTTCGTTTCATCTCGGTCGCATCAATTAACAAAGCACACGTTCATTACTGCGATATAACGATCCGTTCGCGGGACGAACGCATTGTCCGACAGCGTCCTTTTGTCGTGGCGCGTTGTCATTTTTGAATGGTGGCGTTCTCCCTCTCGGCCGCGTTGCCGATTAACGAACCCAACCGACTTCCAAGAGGAAACACCGAGCCGAGCAATCGAACTGACTTCGCGAGCGGAATAATGGACCCCTTTTTTCTGTTCATTGCTCCAATTTTTTTTTCTATTTTTATTTCTTTTTTTTTTTTTTTTTTGTTTTAAACTTCTAGATGTTCTCTTTCTCATGTCGTATTGACGTTTACGTTTATTTTGAGTCGAAGTTAAAATTATCCCAAAGGTTTCACTCATTGTCAGTACTCGGGGATTTGGGAACGAAAGAAAATTGAACTTCAAAATTGAGAGACAGATGAAATGTTCATATTCGAGGTTTGAGAATACAAAAGAAATTAAATTTGAAGTTACAATGTCCGGCATAGATAAATAAATGGAGACTTTTTTGACATCTATCATGTAATTTCTAATACCCGTGAAACTTAAATTCAAATGTTTCGAAGTTTTTAATTAAAAATTGTAACGTAAATAAGTAAAAAATTTTGCAAGGAGCTGCGATTAAATATTTTCAAGTATCGACAATCGACCGTGTCTATCATTCATCGCTGCATTAACACATTGAACATCGCACGAATCATCCAACGATCCATGATATTTACCAAAGTTCGTTCATCAATCGTGAAACGAGCAAAAGCTACGGCACGAAACGTAGACGGAACAAAACGTCCTCCAGGTCTCCGTTAAAGCTTCGCTCGATCGCCTTCGAAGACTAATATCCGTTATCATGGTTCACGATTTCCGTCTATTGCGCGTGTCATTCTCTCGTCTCCTCTTTCATCTCACCGCGCGCTTCTTTTACTCTGTTTCATTCACAAAAAGATATCTTGTCTTGCGTCGCAGGGAGTAGAGAAATTTTATATCGTGTCGAACTGCCTTATATGGAGGAACTGACGTTAGTTTATCTGGAAAAGGAGGACGATGACATTAATGACGAGTTTAGTAAGTGATGCACAAAAATACACGAAAAAAAAGAGAATAAAAATAAAAAATAGACTCAAAGTGTGTGAAAAAAATAAAAAAAAAAACAACAAGGAGTGAACAGCAGATACCAATCCAGGTCCTTGACTAACACAAGCTATCGAACGTGGTTTTCGATCGATACCGACCCTCTTTTTTTAATTGCAGTTATTGTTTTCTTTTTTTTCTTTTTGTTTTCTACTTCTTTTTCTTGGTTTTTCTTATTTAATTTGTGCTTTTTTTTTTTGTTTCTTAATTCACACCGATTCCCCGTCCACGATATTTACGAGCACTGACAAAACGCCGATTACGCTTCGCGCAGTTGGGACAGTCGCGACGTGCTTTGTGTCTGTCTGGTTTTCTTTTGATTTCTTTGTAATACTAATTATCCCCATGTAGATTCTTCTTCTAATTGAGAGTTGCAGACACGCTGCGTAAATCATGAGAGATCGCGTCGCTTCTTATTGATTTCTTAGTTACACGCTCGTAATAATTTTTTATTTCGAATGAGCGAAAAGGAATACAAGCTTCGTAAGATTTGTAACAGTTATGATCGCCAGCGTTACATAATCCCAATGTTAAATGATACGAGACGATAAGAAGCGACGCTTTCTGGTAATCGTATTAAAATTGTTATAACCACGTAGTGTGTATCGATTACAAAGTATGTAAACCAACCCCAACATCGCCAACGAGTGTATCTAGCATAGTCGCCACGTAACTAATGCCACGTCGACCTTGATACTCGTCGATCGCCTAAACTTCTAGACTTTAGGGAGCTTACCACCCTTATTTGTCCTACCTTGCTTTGATCTCCTAGGTGCTGAAGCATGGATCATTTTCTCGTTCGAGGTGGGCAGTGAAACGTAGTTTTATTATTCCCGGTTATTCGCGTTTCTGTATTATTCTTAATACAGAGTGACGTAATACAGAGTGATCAGTTTTAATCTATAAATATGAATTATTGGTGAACTCTCTATTATATGTATATATATATTTAAAAAAAAACAAATAATTCCGAGGGGGGAAGGGGTGAGATTAATTTTTCTGTAACGTAACATAGTTTTTTTTCGACGAAACTATGTAATTTTGAAGCAGATCGATGCAGTTTGTTATTTCCTACAAAGTTGAGATATTTATATTGCAAAACCATTAGTTTAAGTTTTTTCTTCAATAAAGAACATAAAAGTCCAAAATCTGTAATGTTTTCGAAGATTAGATTAATTATTTACAAAAGTAATAATTTTAATCAATTATTCCCTTTCTGTAGGAAGTATCGAGCATTAAAAATCACACAACTATATTTAGCTTACAATGTACAGAAAGTAAAATCGTGACCCATTCGAAAATTCGCTCTTCGTCGGAACAATTCCTTTTACATAACGGTAACAATAATTTCCCAGTAGTTTACATTTGTAGATCGCAGCCAGCCACTCTACGTATTACTGCCTCTGTCATTTAGACGTTTGAACCGCGATCAAAGTTTCTTGCAATCGAGAGAGTTGCGATCGTTTCTCGTTCTCTCTCGCGATCAGTCCGGCAGATCGGAAAGTTCTCGCGCATCGAGAGAGAAACTTTTGTTCCCCAGCATCTACCTGTTTGTAAGAGTGCAAAAAAAAAAAAAAACATTCTAACCGAGGATATAACAAAAGCTTTCTACCGCAAAACCCGGCCGCCGCTGGAAAACACGAGTGTACCCCTTTATACTGGCAATTGCAGGCAGCGAAGAAAACGTGCTGTCGTACGAGGCAGTCCAACAGCTCACCATACAGTACACACGACCCGTCATTATCCTCGGTCCTCTCAAGGACCGCATCAACGACGACCTCATCTCGGAATTCCCCGACAAATTCGGCAGCTGTGTGCCACGTGAGTTGAAACAGACTTCAATCTAGCCCGTGCTGCGCGATTTGGGTCGCACGTTGCATCGACGAATCTCTCGAGATCGCCTCCGGAACGTTGCAGCTTGCTCTCCAATTAAATCCGCGCTGTATTTCTTTCTTTCCCTTTTCTCAGTTGAGAAAGGGAAGTTAACGAAGTTTCCGAGATTTTACCGCGTTAATATTTGAACGATCGAATCGATTCACTTTTGGGATTGATATTTATCAAATATATTCAAAGTCACAACGTTTGTTAAATTATGTTGCTTCAGAAGTCGCGTAATACTGGTCAATCCTGCTCTTTGTTTATTTGTCGTTATTGGCTTGTTTAAGCAAACTAGTTACTTTCGTTTATATTCATTGTAAGAAGAATGATAAATTTTAAAAACGGTGTTTGTAACATCGTCGCCTTTCAATTTCAATTGTGTTGATCGACGTGACTTGTGAATGAGCTCACCGTGACTTTTAACTTTCCATCGCGGCTTATTGCATGACATGCTAAAATACTTTACGTAGAACGATGGCGTTAGACGTCTTTTATTTTCGCAGATACAACGAGGAGTAGGAGGGAGTACGAGGTGGACGGACGTGATTATCATTTCGTCGCATCCAGGGAACAGATGGAAAGGGATATTCAGAATCACTTGTTCATTGAGGCCGGGCAGTACAATGATAATCTTTATGGCACGTCTGTGGCGTCAGTGCAAGAGGTTGCTGAGAAGGTAAAGAGAAGAAAATCCACGTGTACAGTCGCTGAAAAAAGTATTTGCACATTGCTCGTATCCGTCGTAAAATTCACATACTGTTTAATTAAATTCGAGCATGTTAAATTTTGCGTTATATTGCCAAAACGATTAAATTCGTAATTTTTTTACAGAGATCATGCAAATTCGCGAAAATTTGTCTTTAGATATTTAGATAGCTGTAATTTCTCGTAAAATACATGAATTGAAACTTGTGTTCTTTCTTGTGTTACACAAACTGCCCCTTGTTGTATTTTGATTTCTTTTTATTCTAAGTTTCATATTTCAGTGTCGGGTAGTATTTTCATGCGACTAAGAAAATTTGATATTACGAAAGTGAAATATACGTGCAAATGCTAGTGTGCAGTAATCGGTAGTAAATAATAATGGACCGTAACATATTAACATAGATTAATAAAAATGAATGACAGGGAAAACACTGTATTCTGGACGTGAGCGGAAATGCCATCAAGAGGTTACAAGTGGCGCAGCTGTATCCCATCGCCATCTTCATTAAACCGAAGTCCGTGGAGTCAGTTATGTAAGTGGCGATGCTTCCGATGATTCGTTTCTCGAAACTTGAAGTTCACGGTTTAACGAGCGATTGTTTCGTGTTTAAAGGGAAATGAACAAGAGAATGACCGAGGAACAAGCGAAAAAAACGTACGAACGAGCACTGAAGATGGAGCAAGAGTTCGGAGAATACTTTACTGGTAAGTAATTTCCAATAATAATATCCCGAGTTTCGATACAAAACCACGAAAACGAAGTAACTTCGCCGAGCGAAGTTGAATAATTTAATTGGCACGACTTTGAACGATCGAGAATAATCGAAGAACGGAGTTCGTGTTCAAAGCCACATTTTATGCTACAATCGTTAAAATTCGTTCGTTTTTACTTCTACAATTGTAATTCACGTTGGTCTGGCTGTCAAATCGCCACAAATTTTTTTCTCATCGTTGGATCTTGAAGATCGAGGACACTTCGAGACGATCTCTCGAAATGTTTCCACGAAGTTACAAGAGTTCGGCAATATGTCTCGTCGAGGGTACACCCATCGCAACTTTGTTTCTTATTTTATTGCAGCCGTGGTGCAAGGTGACACACCCGAGGAGATTTACGTGAAGGTGAAGGAGGTGATCGCCGAGCAGTCAGGCCCGAACATTTGGGTACCGTGCAGGGACCAGCAACTGTGACGTCCTGCCCCCCACGCTCAGCCTGGTCCGAACGCTTGGACCCTACCTCCGAGGCGTCAAGCTTAATCACTAATAAATTAATAAAGTAATCGAGTAACTCTCTAATGCCTTTCCCGTTCCCTTCCCCAATCCACGTCCCCACCTCTCACTCCGCTCCGTCGCCCACACACCCACACACATACCCACCCAATCGAGTAGCACAATGTCCCAATTAAAGGCGTTAGCCGTGCACCAAGCTCGTTGAGGAAAAGAAAAAAAAAAAAAAAGGAAGGAAGGAAGGAAAGAAAGAGAGAAAGAAAGACTTCGCGTCGAGTCTGACAAAGCTGACAGCGCGCGAAGGTTTATCAGAATACGTAGCACTTTCACGAGAGGAGGTTAGATTAAGGAGAAAAATAAAAGAGAAGATGATGATGATAATAATAATAATAATATTAATAATAAATAAATAATCGCGGGCATGTTTGAAAACGCATGCTCGGAGAGTCTCGATCCCGCGAGAACTCGCAACTCGCGCGATCGTCCGTGCCGCGAAAGAAGGGAAGTTTCCCTTCGATTGTTGATTATGTAAGGATAAAACAGTCGACGGCGTGTTCCCGCTGCAATTGTTATCCGTTTCGACGAGAGAGAGAGAGAAAGAGAGAGAGAGAGAGAGATCCGGCAACGCGGAATATTCAAGGCGTTTGAACGATCCTTCCGACGACGAGAGATTGTCAGGAGGAGGGATACGTGTTAATACCTGGAAGGGTGTTTCGTTGTATCACGATGTTTTATCTCATGCGTTTTTCCACGTGACGAGTGGGTTTGCCGAGTGCGAGAGAACAAGAAACATCACCCTCCCCGTACACACTTGTCACCGTGTTGAATTTTTTTTATCACTGTGTTAGCAAAACGACGACAGGCACGAATACACGGCAACTTCGAACTCCCCGAGTTGAGAGAGGAGTCGAAGAACCTTTAGAAGTTACTTTCTAATTTGTAATTTGTAAGAGAAGAGAAACTGGCACGAATGGAGACGCGTCGGTCGTGTATTCGTCTCGGAATCGATTTTTACTGCGTGTGCGCGGCGACTCGACGAGCGCAGCGAGGAATCGTGCGTTTTACCGAAAGACTCGCGTCGCGGTTCGTCGATTCGAATTCGGGCCGCGGCGCGTTCTGTGTGTGTTACGTTGTATGTGTCACGCGATCGCTTGGAAACACGATGAGAGAGGCGAGTAAGAAACCGAGTAACCGATGCTCCGCCGAAGTCGAACGAGCGAGAATACGACGGGAGGAAATAATAAATGATAGTAGATGTTTAAGATAGATTTTCGTCGCGATTGTTTGTACGACGCGCACAGCACGTTTAGGACGCTTGAAGCAGAGAACTTTTTTTTTTTTTCACGCGCAAATCGCGACGAACACGACGACGAAAGCGTGTGACAGGCGAAAAAAAAAAAAAAGGCGAATGAACGAGGTGCGAGAGTGCGCTGAAAAATAAACGAAAAGAAAAAAAAATGAAAAAAAAAATGAAACAATAAAACATAATACATACTTGGCTTTACCGAACATACTATATACATATATATGTATAGCTTGGTCCGGTTAATTCTGAGCGAAGTAGCGCGGTATTTTTTAATGTACTTAATCGCAATAAGAAGCGAGCGAGAGACAGAAGGGAATCGAGAAGATTCGTCGTCTGACGAGATGGAAACTCGAATGTAGTAGAAACGCACTGACTAGACGAACGAAATGGAGACGCAAAGAAACGAGATACTGTATGGGATATACCCACTGAGAGTCTGTTTTATGGTGTTTTTTTATTTTTTTTTTTTCCTTTTTGTGTTGAGAGACGAGAGGGAAGTAAGAAGAAGAGAAAGAAATAAATAAAACGATGGAAATGAACAAGAAACGACAGGACCCAGACGTATATTACGAACCTCACGATTCATCAAACCTCACAGGACAAATCTCTAGATGCTAGAATAGCGATATATAATGTTTTGTACAGCTAGATTACTAAGCCAGTATTGGGTTATGTGCAACATTATATACATATATATATTTATAAATATATATATGTATAGATAGAGAGAAAGCGCGCGAGAAAGGGAGTGACGATCAGCAAGGAGAGAAAGAATGAACGCTATTGTAATTTAAATACCACTACTAAATTATTATTACGATAGTAGGTATATATATATACAATATAATATTATTGTAAATATCTATACCCGGGTAATCGAGATGGTATATGGTGGTAGCGTTCAAGAGACGATCAGGAGACGCAGGTTACAGTATTTCTCGAGTATACTGAAACGATGAATATGTCGCGACGATTTACACGCGTTACAATTGTACGTTCGATGCAAAATCAGGGGACCTGTTAGCTATTCGCGTTTCGTTTTCTACGATTGGCCCATGCCAATCAACAGGAGGCTAGACGCGTACGCGCGAAGATAAATGGGGAAACGGGGGAGCGAATTTCAACCATCGATTCAGTGACACGTGTGAAACAGAAATTTGCGAACGAAAGTTTCCGCTATAGCTAGACCAACGAGAGATGCCTCCGCCATTATTCAATCATTTTCGCACACAAGCGGTCAGAAACAAGAAAAAGAGAAAGAAAGTATCGCAGAAACAATCCATCGAATGGGGCATCTTTTCGATCACATCACACGTCGCGTTGAAAACGAGATAGATCTGTACTTACGAGCGAACAGAGAAATGCGTAAAGAAAAAAGAGAAAGGAAGAAGAAGCAAACGTCTAGCAAGGAAATTGTAGCAAAAGATTCACGAAATAAAAGAAGTAAGGAGATCTGGAAAACGCGAGAAAGAACGATCGTTTAATCGGAGCTTGCACGTAGCTAAAACTATATATCGTCGCAATGGCCGCGCACCTACAACACTTGATTTCGCAATCGGCGATCGTACAGGCGATCTCGCTTAATCGGTCTCGCCATCGTCGATTACCCTTTCTTCGGTCGGGGCGAGCGAGAAGGGCCGATTTCGCGTTCTTTTTCCTCCCCTCCCCGCATTCGTTTTTTCGTTTATTCGTAGGGATGTGTGTCGCGCGCTATCCGAACGACATCGATTCACTATCGGGTATAATAATTAGCATGGGTACGCTTTGTACGAGCTATTTTTCCTACGAAAAAAAAGAAATCCTGTGTTTAGAATCGTTAACGCAACAGCCGTCGCACGTATTTGCAAGAAAAAGAAATTTAAAAAAGAAAAAAAGAGAGAGAGAGAGTGAGTAAGTAAAAGAGAGGCGTGTATTATCGATAGTTGATGAAGGATGTAATCGAATGGGCGAGAAACGTTGACGTATTAATATTATCGCACAGGTCGTGCCTGAAGACAGAGAGAAAATAGAAGAAAACTGAGAGGGCTAGGCTTCGCCGAAAGTTAATGAAAAAAATCTTTTTTTAGAAAAAAAGAAAGAGAGAATAATAAATGGAGGTAGCGGAGAATATTAAGGTGAAAAAGACGTCTGTCTCGATGTAAAGGAAACGTATAAAAGAGAATAATTACTACAGACACTTATTATACATCTCTATAGTCTATTTAATAATATTACTTATTGAATTGTCAATCTCATGTTCACCTTGTTTCATCGTTTTTAAATAGTTAATAAACGTTTTACCAATTTTAAGTTCGTGTCGAAATCACCAGATCTTTCCCTCGAACGCCATTTCCCTTTGCTTTTGAGTTTCAGAACTTAAATACAGCGTACACTTTTGTTCAAGAATCTTGGAACAAATCCCGCACTTGTCTCAAAAATTAAACGATACTTTATACAACAAAGAATCTGTAATTAACCGTAGTATGATAAAATGCAGATGCAAATGAAAAATTTCATTACCTACCGATAAATTAGCCATTTTTTTTCTGTCCCAAGACTTTCCGAGCGACATGACAAATTAAAACGTTTCAACTTCTTCGATGCTTTGCAACGAAGTGGGGAAAGTGGGTCGTAAAGAAATCGAGAAATGCGCAGAGATCGGTAAAAATACTTGTTTTTATTACATCGATAGGATAACTCGTTACTGTTTATTAGCGAAAAGAAAATCACGAGTCGAGTTCATTTACGAAAATCGAGTTTGTCGGTCCGTTGTGACTTGGTTGTTCGATAAACGTTTGTCGGTACAGAGCAATGATAAATGACGATGACAATTAATAATATGAATTAATTAATTATAATCGTAACTCTTTCTTGTTTTTTGTTTTTGTTTTTCTTGTTTTTTTTTTTTATTTTATTTCGCTTACTTCCATAGTTCCATCCTTTAGACGAATCACAGAGAAAATTTTTAATTTGTATTCTTCCTCGCGTATTTTTTTTTTCTCTTTTTTTTTCAACATTATATATCCATTAAACTAAACTTCTGAAATAAAATATATATATATGTACGTGTATATACATATATATTTATATATTTATATATAATATATTTTGTTCTTTTTCACATAGAATTCCTTCTTCTTCGTAAAGCAGCAGCGGTTTTTGTTTTTTTTTTTTCCTTTTCCTTTCTTTTTAACACATTTAGAAGTAATGTATTCCTCGAATATAATATATAAATTACAATGTGGAGGAGGAGGAAACGTTACAGCTAAGAAAATGTACATTCATAGTTCGGTATTATGTATATATCGTACAATAAAAAAAGCGGATAGTCGTGACAGTAATAATAGTAACAGTAGTTGTAGTTGGTGGTAGTAATAGTAGTGGTTGTGGCAAATAGTAAATAGTAATAGCGGTAATTCGTAGTATTCCGTAGTAGTAATCGGTGACCGGTAGTAGTAATAATAATAATAGTAATAATTAGTTAGCGATAGTAACTGCGATAGCCCCTATTATATTGCGAGAAATTATCTGCGTGTTGTATGTGTATATACATATACATACGCCGAATAACGGCGTATTATTCGGATTCTTTTCGCTGAAATTACAACGTTCTTCCCGCGAGTTAGTCTAAAACGCCGGGCTTCTCTCCCTCCCCCCCTCCCCCTTTTCTCCTTTTTACGCCTTAGTACAATTACACGTGCGTAAATGTGTGTATACGCCTCTATAGTTAATATGAACAAGTGTCGTGTCTCTGTTCTTCGTTTTTTTTTTTTTTTTTCTTCCTGTCTACTTACACTATTATACTCGGTATCTACTTTACATTTAAAAGGTACATTACACGCACAATACGTACAGTTACTTCTCTCCCTTTCTGCCTCGATTCACCACCCCTCCCCTAACCGCCATTCCGTCTATGTGTTTCGCTTACACTTTATATTTCTCGTGTTTCTTCTCTTCCTTCTTCTCTCTATTGTTCTCCTGAATCTCGTTTCGAGAGCTTTTGTTTCTCTTTTTATGTTATATTGTTCTGGAACATCGGCGACGAGAATCGCGGACGCGAACGTGAAGAAAACCGGGGTCCTTCGGGGTGCACGCGCGTATGCGAACGGTGCACGCGCTTGGCTTTCCGTTCGAAAATAGCTTATGTACACGTGTAAATCGTACTCCGTGCACGGCATTAACCGGCAATGCATTCGAGTTTAGAAATTGTCAGCTAAATAAAATTAAAACAAGCAGCGAGCGAGCGATTAGCCACCCCCCGGGTCGATCTTGGGCGTCGATCATGGGAGTCGTTCGTTTCAATGCACGAAGAGAGACTCGAACAATTGTCTCTCTTTCTCTTTCTATTTATTGTACATCGCGAAGAAGTCAATGGAAACGGTATAACGTACAACTAATTTCTGACGAACGTTCAGTCCGTCGATCGACCATGGAGATCGCCTGGCCGCGTCCCTGTTCAAATCGATGCAACGCATAGGATATATCGAGAATACGCGTACGGATATTTCCCTGAGACTGATCAGAACGATTGGATATTCCTCTGTACACACGGAGACAAATGAAACGCGTGCGCGAGCGAGCGAGCTTAAGAAAAAGAAAAAAAAAAAAAAAAAGAACTTGTAGAAGCTTCCCTGTCTATGGATACGTAGGAGTTTCTCCCTGTTCCTTTCACATCGTTTTCCATCTTTCTTGTCCCGGCACGTGTAATATCTAGCACGCCTCCGAAGCTATATATATAAGTACGTAGAGATCGGTTCCATCGACGTATCCGAGGAGACTTGCCTCGCGAATCGAATGCGCCGACGACTCTTGGAACACGTTCACTGCTGAACGTTCGTGGTCCTTGAAACGTTTGTTTGGAACTCGTCGTTTCTCGTGGATCGGTAACGTAGAGAAAATTAACGTAATCAGTTTGCTAATTAGATTTGTTTTTTCTTTTTATAACAGAAAATAAACAAAAGAAAGCATCAATGAAAACAAGGTAGAACTAGGCAACAGTGAACGCGTTGGTTGCAACGAGCAAACGAGATTGAACATAATCTGGAAACCGTTAATTCGAGGATCAATCACGAGTTTCGATGACGAGTTATTGCACACTGAACATTACGATCGCGTATATCCTTGTATGGTATCTCAGGCTCAACGAGACGCTAACGACACAACAACAAGCAGACTCGCGAAATTGCACATCCCAGAGGAAAAATAAACGAAAGGAAGAAGAGATTAACGGTGAAGAAAAACGTAAATGCTCCATATATATTTCGACGATTAGTAAACGCTTGCTTAAATCTAGAAACGGTAAACATGTAACCGAGTTATACTTTAATTGACTCGCTAGTACCTAGTAAAAAAAGAAAAAAGAGAGAAACAGAAAGACAGACGGAGGAAGAGAGAGAGAGAGAGAAACGAAAACGTAATTAATTAAATCAACAACGATGGTTAACAACGTGAGAAAGCTGATAATAATTGTAATTCGCATGTTCCGATAATTCGCAACATTTCATTCCTTGCCAAAGTGGACGCGACGGTGTTTCGAGTTCTCTATCTCTTTCACTCTCTTTCTCTCTCTCTCTCTCTCTCTCTCTTTCTCTCATATCGACTTTTCAACGAAAAATAGAATAACACGTTCCACCAAAAGTTCCAACATCGCGATTAAAATCTACTGCGGAGCACAGACATCTGTCGTGGGAACTTTATCCACTACAAGTTCGCAAAAATTGTTCGAACTCTTCCGTTCCCTTCAAATCGTCGAAACAAAATTATCGTTCGAACAGGACGACGATCTTCCCTCCGAAACATCGTCACAGAAATTGATCATCGTTCGAAGAAATTTATCGATCAAATATCACGTCGATGTGTCCCGTGCGGGACACCTGTAAATAAAAATACTGCTAATAGAACGCGTGGGAAAACACTGCCATCTTGTCCTTCGATGTCGGTGAGCTCGCCTGTTCTACCTATTCGTTCAATCGACCCCGATTCTGTTCTCCTCGTCGGAGCTGAATCGGCAGAGAGTAATTCAATTCCCGATCGAATGAAGTTTCTCGCTCGAGTGTCAATCATCGAGCTGAGAAAGAGTATACTTTTCACGGCCGAATAGGAAGTTTCCCTAATTCGAGTTCAATCGGTAGCGGCTGTCTTGTTAGCCTGCCGCGTTCTGGCCTGCCTCTCGCGTTTAGGCGAAACGCTCGAGCTCTTCTTCGACGTTTCTCTCGCGGCGGAAGTCGACGGTTTTGCCTGGGGCGACGATCGCCCCAGTGGCACCTCCTGTCACCTCAGGCTGATCACCATTTTCTCCACGTTCAACAGGGATCTCACTTTCTCGTTGTACTTGATCAGGGTCACCTTCGAACCTCGCACGTTGATACGCTCGCCGCCGCTGAGCAGGTGGCAGCAACGGGACTGTTCCAGGAAATCTTGGAGCTTCAGTTCTCTCATGACGTCGCGGTGAGCGATGGCCGGCGGGCCGGCGTGAGCTTTCGGATTCACTTGACGCAGCAGCGCGTCTCTGCTCTTTATTCTGAGGGCGGCCATCAAGTCCTGGAGCAGCACCCACTTGTCGGGATCGTTGGCGAGAGAGAAGAGAACTGGCAGGTTCACATCGCTCACTTCCATCTCAATTTCGTCCAATTCGGGCTCCGGATTGTCCATTGGAGAATCGTCGAGAGGATTGTAGCCGGTCTCTTCTGGGTCTGAAACGGAATAGATTTATTAATCGTGGTATTCGGTTGATTAATCTTTGAGGAATAGGTAGTTAGAGGTGACCGGGTGGTGTATCTCGTTTTTCTCTGTCCCCTCTACGTATAAAAAATTCCTTTATCGACTATACTTTAGCTTTTTCAATTATTCTAATGTTTAATAATTGGAGAGATACTCGCAGGTATTTTAAAAATGAATCCATTATCGAATTGTTGTGAAAGTAAATTTGCTGATAGTAGAAATTTCTGTTTAAATTCAATTAGCAAAAGTGACAGTCACAACTAGTTATAATTTCCAAAGATTCGTAGAATAATTCCAAGTTTTATTTACGTTCTTTGAAATCGGCAGAACTTACCGAAAATAGAAGACGGGCCGCCAAAAGACCACGCTGTGTTCGCTCGACCCTGGATATCGTCTAAGTGCTGCTGCAGAATTGAATAGGCGTCGGTATCTGCAGCCAACATCAGTGGAGTTTGACCGGAATAAGTAGCTAATAAGGGATCAGCGCCGTAAGAAAGTAACAAGCGTACAAGTTCGGTAGCACCATTTTCTGCTGCCTCGTGAAGTGGTCTGTAATGATAATAATAAAAAAAGAAGCAAACATTATATTTCAATGCCTCGGTACAATTACGCAAAATAAAGATTAAGATATTCAGTATTCATTTGTACGACGTTGGTCGTTGAATGCATTTCAACAAACGTTAGAATATTATGAATAAAAGAAAAATATATATATATATATAAAGTTTATTATATTATTTAAAAAAAATAATATCATTTATAAAAATTAAAACTTGAGCTCGAAATCTTTCCGAAAATACTGTAAAGTAATAATATTATAAACTAAAATACTATAAACTAAATTGTGAAAATTAAAAAGAAAAGATGATCCTCCTTAATTAAATCAAACAACTTTTATAAAAATAATTTCTTAATAAATCCAATGCCTTTTAAAATAAAATTCCCATTTTATGAAATCCGATACTGTTTATTATAATAATTTGGGAAAACAACGATTGGAAATCAGCAACGAAAATCACCTTATTCCACCGTTGGCACTTTCGCTCGCGTTCGCGCCGTACGCGAGCAACAATTTCGCGATTTCGAGATGACCCTTGGAACAGGCTTCGTGCAGCGGCGTGTAACCCGCGTTATCCTTTGGGCTCGGCGCGTTATTCAGTTTCTCCAAGCAGTACGCAGTGACATCCTGCGAACACGGCAGGTAAAAAACGCAATTTATATTCAAATATTTATCAATGAATATTTCTCACTAAATTGAGATTGAATTTCCAATGAATAAATGTTTTTTCTAACAAATATTTACCGTGTAACCGAGCCTGGCGGCACGGTGCAGCATCGTTTCGCCGACACCCTTTTTGATCACCCATGTTCTAATCTCAGACTGTATGTCAGCTACGCATTCTGGACTGGGCCTCGCTAGAACTTGCTGCGAAAACAAATATTTCCCGTTGATAATCTCTCAATGCACTTTTCAACAACCTTATATTTTAATGTTCTACTATTTTTATAATTTAATGTTTCTTCTACTTTTCTTTTTGTCTATTATAATTTTTCACCACCATGACGCGTTACAAAAAAGTCGTATTACGTCTACCTACGTATATTATGTTCTGTCGAATTTTCTTTTTTCCTTTGTGCCTTTGTATTTTTATGCATTTCTCTTTTGTACCCTACTAAGTCGTATAAATATTTTGAAATCTATTTAGAAACTTGTTTTGTAAAAATAATAAATAAATATTATTTATCTAATCTTCTGCTCTCAATTTATAAATTCATCTTTCATTGATTTTGATGTTCCTCTAACACAGGAGTGAATGTTTCAAAGTTGAAATACATCGGCGATTGAAATACATTTGATCGATCACTTTGAAGATACACAAACGCTGAAGAAAAACTCACCCTCTTCCTCTCTTTCGGCAGCGCCTCGTCCTTCTTCAAGGGTTTCTTCTTCTTGCGAATATAATCGAATCCGGAGCGGAACTTCCGCCTGCTTGTCCTCAACTTGAGCTTCTTTTTGTTAGGAACTTCTGACTCGTTGGTCTCGTCGTCCAGCTCGTTGTTCTCTGCCTCCTGCGCGTTGTTTGCCTCTTCCTGCGCCGGCTCCTCTTCCGCCTCCGTCTTCAATCGGCGCAACTTCTTCTCGGCCAACGATTTCAACAAATCCTTTCGGTCCTTCATCAGCAGGTGACGCTGCTTCGAGTTCATAAGCGCCTTGTGCCTCCTCAATATACCAGCGCTTTTCAATCGCGACACCACCTTCTGCTTCAACGTCCTCTCCTTGCTCAGTCTGTTTTCCGGCGTTTCGTTCTGCGAGTCGTCGTCCTGAGACGTGTCGTCGTGATTTTGCATAGGTGGTGCCGAGGCTGGCCTGTCCTCGCCAAAAACTTCTCGGATGGTCGCCTGTTTCTTCAACACGCGCGTCTCCGTTCTCGTTCTGCTCTTCAGCACCAGCGTGGAGAACTCGTTGGGCAGGGCGTGATTGTTTTTGAACGTGTCGCGGAAGTTGTTTACCGTTTCCTTACGGAAGTAACCGAGTAGAACCGAGTCTGTCACTTTGATGGCCTTCACCTTGTTATCTTTGACAAGCGATTTGCTTTTTGGCAATTTAGTCGACTCCAGCAGAGGGGTCAGGCTCGGTGTTGGAAGCAATTCGGGTTCGTTGCTACCTTTCTGCAGCGTTTTATTGCCACCTTTGTTCAATTTCTCCTGTTTCTGTTTCCTCTTTTGTTCCTTTTTGTTCGTCCCTACCTTTTGCGCCAACACATCGACGATCGAACTGTTCTCTGACCTCGAATGCTTCATACCCTTCGGGGGACACGAGATCGTCGTGGACGACGTGGCCTCCTCGTCGTCTATCTTGCTTCCTATCCCAATTCCGGTGGTACTGAAACTATAGTTGGACTCTACGTCACTGTCTACCAGTTTCTTCCTGCTCAGATACACGTCGGAACTGTCCATGGAGACGGACAGAGCTGGGGAACCTGGGTCCAAATCGGGCAACGAGGTGGACAGCCTGTGAAACCTCGATGGTCTCGACACGGTGATCAACCTAGGTGGCATTCTCAACGATTTCTTGTAAACGTACACCTCCTCCTCCCAGCCAGGCCTGAAATCGCTACCGTCTCCGAACAGAGGTTTCGGCTTCCCTTTCTGAGACGCCGACGAGGTCTTCGAAGTCGAACACTTGATCTCCTTTCCTTCGTTCTTGGCCTTCTGCGGAGTCGTATCCCTCGATCGTAGCTTCATTCCCTCAGCCTCCGCGCTGCTGTTGTTGCAACGCTTCCTAGCTCTCAGCCGGTCGGCCACCGTAGAACCATGGCCAAACTCCGTACTAGCGTCGCTCTCTTCGCTCGAAGATTCACTGCCGCTGGACGACTGCAATTTGATCCTGCTCCCTCTGCGAACTCTTCTCTTCCTGCATATTATCTCCTCCTCGCAGTCGCTGTCGTCCTTTCTCAGTTTCTTCTTCGCCCGTCGAATCAACGGCACCTCGTCCGAGTCGTCGCTGGAATTCTTCTCTTCGTCCTTGCTCGCCTCGGGCTCGATCTTCACTTCCACCTTGATGTCCTTCGCCTCCGAAGGCTCGTCGTCCTTACTGGTCTCCGGGAACTCGTCCTTACCGTCCAGAGGTGAATCGACGTCCTGAATCTCCTTCTTGATGTCCTCCGGCTTGATTTGGGACGTGTTGGCGTCTGTCTCCTTGCCATCGGCGTCGTTGCTAGCGTCGTCGAGCTTGGACGTTACGGTGCAGCTAACTTTCTTCTTACGGCCGCGCTTTTTCATTGCGTCTCCCGTCCGAAGTTGCTCTATGAACTTGTCGCACGTGGCCGACCAGAACGTGTCCACCTCGGTGATCTTGTCGTTTTCCTGGGGATGGGAGATCCGGTGATGAGTTTATCGGGGTAACTGGATTCTTTGTAATCGACGTTCTTGAGCTTCGAGCGAGAAATCTTTGGGAAACTTTCTAAGAAACTGTCGTTCAACGGCCAGAGTTAATCCGCGAGCGAAACTTACATTCCTTCGCTCTTGTACGGTTTCTATAAACATCTCGCGAGAAGAAATTTACAAATTTTCAACAAATTAATTATACGATTGCAAAGGTTCTCCGAATAATTGAAGAAAATTCCGTGTGCGACTGATAAACATTTAACAAACAGTGAAATTATGTCGCCGTAAGGCAACAAGTTGGCGAATTATTTAGCATTAGAGTAGCACCTAATGTTGGAATGTTTCAAAGAATGATAAAACAAATTACTAAGAAACATAGAAGGATAAATTTTATAGAAAACGCTAAACTAATGACTTTGCATTTTCAATTCACACTGAAAATCACACAGGTTTGAAGAACCTAAATAAAACAACGGAAAGCAAAGTTATTCCGAAGAACGGAACGGAATCTCGCTCCACTTTCATAACAAACGTATCAGCTCTGGCCATCCTCCTGGTTTCCGAGTAAAACGCGCAATAAAAGATCCGCAATAAAAGTCGCTCAAGGCCGTTGGTCGTCGTCGGCTCGAGCCTCGACGAATCACGCGAAAGACCATCTTACGCAAATAACGTTACCTTCAGCTCTATTTGCACGAGATCCGTCGATGAGGTCATACCCATGCACATGGCGTCGTTCAAAGGAACGGGCGGCTGCACCTTCGACAGCTGTTTCCTGTCCCTCCTCATCTCCTCGAGCGTCTGCCGCTCGAGAACCGGCATCTCACCTTCGGAATCGCTCTCCCGAAAGTCGAATACCGAGGTCTCGGAGGAGCTTCTGAACCCGCTGGCCCGCGCTGGAACGCTAGAGGCGATTGTAGGCGGTGGCGCTGGAACCGGAACCGTCGCGGCCACCGGCATGTTCTCTTCTTCCGTTCTGGAGAACAAGCGTCTCCGTGGTGGCAGGCAGGCTACCTTCTCGCGCGTCAGTTTCGGCGGGCTACCTGCCGACGAACCGGACTGCGGCGTCGACGTTGAAGCTGCGCTGTCCAGCTCTGTACGTGCGCGTTTACGAAGAAACGTGGTATTACGAGTTATTTTTACGAGAGCTCTTCGTTATTATTATTATCATCATCATATGACAACAGACACGCTTCATTATTATTATTATTATATTATAGAAGTTAGAGTTTATTACAGAATTAATATTTATTATTATTATTCTTATTATTATTATTAAAGAATTTAGTTAGTGACGAATATTAGAAATTACTTTACGTTTCTGTTAACAAGAGTAAAGTTTTCAACAGTATAAAAAGCGAAAAGGAAATTGGTGGATAATATATAATCGTATTTTTTAGATAAGATAATTCAAGAACAGAGGTTAAATAAGTTCGCTCATGTTTTCTTGTCGCAGAATTTGTCTAAGTAAGAAGTAACTCAATCATCCTATCTCTTTGTAGATATATATTTGTATATATCTACGTTTATCTTTCGTAAAAAGACAAGTACTCTTGCGTATTTTAAATCATTTTTATAACATTCTTCAGAATAATATAAAAACCATTTACGATGGGTATGTACTTTAAAATTTTACCAAATACACGATCTATTTTATATATATATATACATATATATATGTATATGTATTTTTTTAAAAAATATAAAAATGCAAAATTGTTCAGAATGTACAGTGCTTTCTGCATGAAAGTATTATTACGTAAATCAACGGAAATTCTATTTCATAAACTACAATATACAATACAAATATTATAAATTTACAATTTTATATAGACAAATTTGCACAAAACACACAAACTGAATCTAAAATTACCTTTCGGAGTGGACGACGCATCCTGAGAGGGCATGGTGGTTGGTTTCGTTGCAAATTGGCCGGTTCCCACCTTCAGAAACGAAACGCACCGTACGTTACAAATAGGATCAACAAGAAGAATTAAAACGACCAAATCAACTTGAACTACCAAATAATTCTTTACAAAGAGTGTAAAATACTTCTCATTGCGTGTTCTCACCTGTTTCAGTTCCGCCTTGGTTCTGATTTTCGCGGCTAGTATGGCTGCGAAACCATCGTCTTTGTCACGGTGAATCTGATTCTCAGCTCCTCGGGGTCCCAGGAGTGCTTCCTTGCCAGGTAGCGTGGCGGATGAATTTACTCTCGAGCCATACAAACTACGGGGGGCCTCCTGAGTGATCGAGTCCACCGCTCTCGGCATATGGAACTTGTAATGGGGTGGCGTGTTGCTGTTTCGTTCCAGTAAGCTCGCCGCCGTGAATGGTGACAGGTTGTGTCTTCCGATGTTCGTTTTGGGCTCGACCGGTGCAACAACCTTCGGGAATAGAGAACAGTGGCGTTAACACGATAACAGACATTGTGTATCATCTCTGTTTCCTTCGTGGCACGTCATCCGTTACATTCATGATATCCCAGTAAATGTCACAGCCGAATTAAAAGGAACATTTTCTTGTGAGATATCGATTTTGATGCTAAATATAGTACTTCCGATATTTAATTAAAAAAAAAAAAAAAAAAAAAACTGAAATACATTGCTTCTCTCATTTCGAAAAATTTTGTCAGATTTTTATTGTCGCTTGTGTTTGAAGAAGCCAAGACATAATTTAAAATTGTAGCGGCTAGCAGATGTCGGAGAAAAAACGTTTTCTCAGACAGAAAAGTTAGAAGAATTTATGACTCTATTGAATTGAAAAGGCTAAAGTCGGTTTTGCAGTGCGTTAGACCGAATGTCCGCACTTATAGTTTTAGAAATACAGCCTTAATAGCATTTCTGCGAAGCGTCGTAAACTCTTTACTAGGATTCCTAAGGGACAGCCAGATCAACATCTGGAAAACACTTGGAGAAAGTGAATGAGGCCCAGAGGAAACCCTGCTACACCACCATAATTCGGGGAAAATGGGTCCCGGCGAAATTGCAGCCCCACTCTCAGAGAAAATGCGTCTCGAACGCAAGGAATAGGCGGCGCAATTTCGTGACAACCTAACGCAGAAACGATTTAACCAATTAGGGATGTCCGAGACGGGGACCGAGTTTTCCTCGGAGCAAAAAAGTTCCGAAGACGAGAGAACAAGCCGAGGAGTCAGAGGAGAAGAACACGAGAGAAATTCGGGGCCGTCATCGAGTACGAATAAACTCCGCGACACGCCGCGAATTAAGACAGTCTCCGCGTCTATTGTAAGAACAAATAAAAGTGTTATTAGACAATACAAGTCCAAAGATTATTATATACTATACCCCCAAAAAATATATATCGTGTCGATGAGAATTTGCACGAGTGGAGATCGAAAACGAGATCGATGTAATTTCAAAGTGAAAAAAAGTGCGTATACGATACTATACAACGCGATGGGTAATACAGTCTAAAAGCGAGAGATAATTCACCATTGCTCGTAGATTAATTCAATCAACTAGATCTTAATTAACCAAACAATTGTCAAACTTCGAAACTCCACGCAACAATATAATTGCTATACGCAGCAACGTACCTTGTTTTGAAAACTTTGTTGACCGTGATTGGCCAAGATAGGCTGCTGGCTGTTCATCTGCTCTTCCCTCTGCTGTTTGTTCTCCAGGCTGTTCCTCAGCAGGCTGAGCACTCGTTTATCAGCGCCGGTGTTGCTCGGTGGTTCGGTGGCTTGCCCACCGGAAGTGGCTCCAGAAGGCAGCCCGGCCGTTTTCTGGCTCTGTCTATAACTCGGGTACATCGACGGTTGGCTGGCATTGGCCTGCTGCGGCAGAGAGTGCACGTTCGTCGGCTTCGTGATCACCGGATGGACGTATGGCGACGAACTGTAGGTGACCTTAGACTCCGCATAGCTCCTCTTATCACAGTACGCTTGCTGATATCTGCTCGACTCGGACGACGAGTATCCGCTGTCCGACCTCTGCTCGTAAGTGTTCGTCCCGACCAGCGTTCCATTCGGCAAAGGGACCGGCATGTTCATCTCCTGCCTGTTCATCTTCTGTTCGTACAACGCTCTCGCGGTCGACAGCTTCTGATGGATCCACGTGTCGAGCCTCGGCTGCTTGTTCAGCCCACCGGTGCCGTAAATCGTGTCGCCAGGCCTCTTCGAGGGTGTCCGGTCTCTTTGCGGTGGTGGCTGGCCGAACTTGCTCCTGCTATCGAGGTAATACTTCGATGGGTCGGACGGGTAGTCTTGAAGTGGCAGAGCGGACGGCCCTATCCTTCCAGGATCGACCATCGACGGTGGATACCTGGTGGATCTGGATGCGGCGGAGTCGTTGGCCGTCAGATAGGAGGACGATGGTGCTGGTGGAAGAGGCGTCGACACTGTCACCGGGTCGTACACCTGCGTCGTGGGCAGTGAACTCTTTTTGAACGTGGACATGTGGGGCAGTGGGGCGGTGTTGTTCGGATGTTGCGAGGGTATGGATTGTGGGGGTGGGGCGTACAGCTGCTGCGACGAGCTTCTTCGTTGAAGAGCGTTCTCGTGCGTGGATGGTTGACCTCCGTGGTGATGACGAAGCGGCGTAGAATTGAAATCCGGCAGGAAGTCGACCTTCGGCGCGCATACCGTTTGAGGGGTGGACGCTCGAACGCCGCTCGTTGGTGGCAAGTTCCGACCGCTATTGCTAGACAGTCGGTTGTCGTATGCAGGATACGCAGCTGGTTGCGAGGAGGCTTGCGTCGGGGGCGGTAACATAGTTCTCGAACTGTTGTTTCGCGACGAGATCACTGTCGAGCTGCTAACATGTTTTTCCGGGGTGATCGTCTCGACATCATCCTGCGCAGTCGAGTCTGCGGACGTTTTCACCGTTTTCACGGAGAGATCCAGTGGAGATTCTCTCTTTCTCAAACCGTTCGTTTGCGGTGGAGAGGTGACCACGGGAGAAGCGGCGGTAGATTGGACAGTAGAGACGCTGGAATTTTGGTACGAGTACTCCTTGTACACCCCGTAGTCCTCGGTAGCTCTTACAGGCTGATGGTGGTAGGAGGATATCGCGCGATTCGCGTCCGACGTTTGATAGTTGTGTATCGTGGTGGCTGGAACGGTAGATCTCGAAGCTACATGACCGATGGACGTAACGGTGGTGCTGCTGGATGAATTGCTCCCCTGATGACTAGGCGCCATGGTGGTAGCGTAGGTCGGATAACCGTGTTGACCGGTGTATCTGCTGTAAGAGGAATTCGTTACCGTGTTCGTCCTTCCGTTGACCGGCATGGCGTGATTCATGGCCGGCAGAGTGACCGGATATTCGGAAACCCTTTGAGGCGCAGCCATCGAGGAAGTGGGAGGAGTTACCACTGAAACTTTGTTCGTCGTGCTGGCCGCGTTGTATCCGCGTTGCCGTTGCACCGATTGCGCTTTGCTCGCCGATTCTCGCCTGTTGGAATGATAGGACGAGAGAGCAGCGATGGGTGGAAGGTTGTGCGTGTTGCCACTCTTCTGCACGGACGTCTGCTGAGATCGATAAGAGGTGGCGTAAGGCACCTCCATCGAGTTTCTCTTCGAATCGGCGCCGTTGTACGTTACCGGTTTGCTCGACTGATAACCAGCCGCACCGTTGGTGTTTCCGTTTCCGGAGCAGATCGATTGCGTCGGGCCGGGAATCGACATTTGTTGAACGTACGCCTGGCTTTGAGATCGACCGGACTGCGGATAGTAGTTTGCTTGCGCGTGAGACGTCGGCGGTTGCGGATTCTTTTGGAAGGAATGATACGAAGACTGAGGCGGTGGTAGCCCGTACGGGTTCGCAGCGTAGCCACCGGTGTTCGGTTGATAGTGTTGCGACGTGATGGGAAGGCTGTACGAGTGGGGGGTGGAGGTGGCCGGAGGCGGCGGAGGATAAGTCGGCGAATGCGGCTGGAAGCTGCTGTGCGGTGAGGTCGTGTGATGAGGAGATGCATGAGGCGTGTGCAGGGTGGACATGTGAGGCGATTGTCTGTGCGGTGATGGGGTAGCGTGATGAGGAACATCGTGGGGAGAAGCGATTGGATGATAACCACCGGTCAACGCTGCCGGTGGTGGCATTTGATTCGAGCTGGAGGACGAAGACGCAGCGGACGTTCCGTGAGCGATCATTCGACTGGCGTACGAGTGCGGCGATGCGTTTATTCGACTAGAAAGCTGTTGCTGCTGATGCTGTTGCATTTGAGGTTGCTGCTGCTGTTGTTGTTGTTGCTGCTGCTGCTGCTGCTGCTGTTGTTGTGGCGATTGTTGTTGACTGTGATGATGCGGTGGTATCATATTTCCAACGGATGGCAAGTGCGACGAAGGAATGTGCGCCGGATGATTCTGGTAGGACGACGAAGAGGACAGCGATGGCGATGAAGGAATGTGACTTAAGCTGGCTGTGTGACGAGGGCTGCACGGGTTCACGGACGAACAAGACGGAGACGAGGAGACGCGCGACGAGTGCGACGATCTGTCCGAGTGAGGCGACCTGTCCGTTGCTGGATTACTCGAAGAAATCGAGCTCGATCGATGCTGCTGCGGCGCGCGATAGTTCTGCGACGGCGGTGAGCCATAAATCGAGGGGGCGCTCGATGGCGTTTGGACGTTATTGCCGTAGGAACTTGGTGGCACTCTTTGTTCCTGAGCGTGTCCTTGACTGGAAGCAGCATTCGGGTTGCTTTGTTCGACCGGCGTCGGCCTTGTAGTCGGATGCACGTTTCCCGACGATGTAGCCGCGGCTACGCTCGACGACTGATAGATCGAATTCTGAGTGAACGGAACCGGGGCGCTTTTCGTGATGTCCGGATGGTGATAACGGGGATAGTACTGAGTTCTTTGTGCTACGACTGGCGCGTTCGACTGCGACTGTCGATCGTTGGCAGTTTGATAAGTCGCCGCCTGGTGCGACGTAGCGAGTATTTCCGCAGTGGTGAACGAAGTCCTCGAGACGGGGTTCAACTGTTGATAGACCGGACCAGGGGAGTGCGGCTGTTGAGGTGGTTGCATTTGATGCAAATGCGGCGAACTCGGCGCTGTCGCGGTCGTCGGTTGCGGATGATGATGAAGATCGTTGGACGACGTCGAGATCGACGAAGACGACGATGATGACGACGACGACGACGACGACGACGATGACGACGACGACGACGATGGGGTCGAGGGGGTCGATTGTTTCTGTGAGAAATTTGACGTCGACGAAGACCGCCTGCTCGACGGTTGCATCTCCGTTAAAGTGATGATATTCGACGACGAGGAACTTGGCTCCATGGACGATCCGTCGTCACCCGGCCTCGTGTCTGGCACTTCGACCCTCGTTGGTTGAGGAGGATAAGGTTCGACGGACGGACTCCAAAAACTGCTGGAGCTGGTCGTGCCGTTGTCCACCGACGACGGTCTGACGTTGTTGAGATATCGGCTGGTTTCCTGGTCGTTGTTGCTGCCGCTGCCTCCGCTGTTACCAGCGTTAGCGGTGCTCGCATTGCCGCTCGGAGTCGATTGCGGCGGTATCGGTAATGGCGGTGGTGCTTGCAGTACGGATGGCGACGAGAGAGCCACGGACGAGGCAGTGCCATGGTCGTGTGACGACGATACGGTCGAGGTGGAACTCGTTGATGTCGCGAGACTGTGCTCCGCTGACGCGGCCGCACTACCTGTACTCGGTACTGGCAGTCCCTGGAAGTACTGGCGAGCCCCCTCTAATACGTTCGTGAAGCTCACATCCATGTCACGCCGACTGCTGGTCTGGAATCAGAAGAAAATGCCTTTCGTCATTCCTTTGCAAACATCTCTTGATTAGCGTGATGATTTTAGATTAGAATTTCATCGGAATACGAATAATTTCCGGTACAAGTAATTTCTAACATTCCAGATTTTCTAAACAAAATCCCTCTGAGATCACTTTTTGTTCAAACTCGTCATTTTAGGAAGAATTCTTCTCACCGTCAATGACCGTACTCGTTCGTATCACAAAGAAGCGTTCAGATCGTCGGAACTTTATTAAATAAAATTTCGTTGCAATAAATATATAGGAATCTCCTAAACGAAAGGGACATTTGCAGTTAAAGATCATCGCGCGAACCACGACGAGACGCCGCAGATTAACGAAAACTCTGGGTTCACACGATGCTGTCGACTACCAGAGAGAGAGAGAGAGAGAGAGAGAGAGAGAGAGAGAGAGAGAGAGAGAGAGAGAGAGAGAGAGAGAGAGAGGGAGCCCGGCCAGAGAACCAGGCCAAAACATTAATCTTCATTGTCTTGTATTTGTCTGTTACGGGTTCCCCCTTCTCTCTCCACCTTACTATCTTACTCCCTCGCCTTTCCAACGATTCTATTTTCTCCAACGAGCAGCTCGAAGCGCAAACCAGCCCGATCTCGCGTTATTAATCTCGTCGGTCCGCGTTGCTCCGTGAAAGATAAGATCATCGCACGGAACAGCAACCTGCAGAGGGGAACGAAACGAGATTCTTCAGTGAGACCGACGACGTTGAGTGTTACGATCCTAAACGGTTCGGATTGATAGAGAAACCTCGCGACGTGGCTCAATTAAACGCAACTCGGCTGGTACACCTGATAAACATTCGCAGGCAGATCAACTCGTCAGACAAAGAATGAAGTTCGAGTGGAACATTATTTCTTCCAACTCGTAACGCGCAACGAAATTAATGTGGATCCCGATCGAGGAATCTGTGATCTTGAATTAACATTGTTCTCTAAAATTACGAGTAGAAAGATCGGGGAACAGGTGAACGAGCTTTATTCTGTAATATCCGAATATTCAGTCTCATTTCTCTGTTATTGAAGGAAGAATTCTAACTATAACATCACAAAACACACTTATTAATGTAGTAATTAACAAACTAAACAAGAAAGTAATTACAAATTCTTAGAAATAACTAAGAGTTACAAAAACGAAATTGTAACAGTAAAAACGTGGTACAAATGCAAGCGAGTAACGAAAAACTAATTGTCATAATGTACTTCGACATAAACTTCGCGGCGTCAAGAAACTGTCGTTACGTTCCAAAGAAAAACCATCGCTACCATCGCGTATCAATTATCATACCATCAACGGCTACACACTAGCTGCGTCTCCGTTAATGACTAATTCAGGCTCGTTATTGATCTCTACGTCATTCGCAACTATGCTCCGAGCGACGGCAGGGATGCAACGACTTCCACGACGGGAGCAGCAGGAAGCTCGCCATTTATCAACGTCCGTATCGCGATTCATATTTCCAGCGGAACCCTCGTAACTCGGCATCAACGTCTCCGAATCCTATCGAATTCTATTCTATCCAACAAATCGGTCGGCTGTCTGATCGAACTGCGCCGGGAGATCTTATCCCCGACCGGAACAGTCGCTCGTCGAACGGCGATCGTTATCGATTATCGAGAAGCCGGAGGATACGGAGATACGACGGATGCACAGCCACGGGAGAGAGACTGTAAGAGAGAGCCTGGATCGCACGAGACGCAGCTCATCGAGACGTGCAACGAATCGCTCGTCTAGCGTGGCGCTTACGGGATGTGAAGCGACGCGCGAGAGACAACTACCACCATTGCCACCGTCCTTGATTCGACGGTGCCCGCGCGTACAGGTAGCACAACGTCGGTGGAAGCGGCACAGGCGAGAATCAATATCGCGCACCCTTGCAACAGACCGAGCAACCTGAGGGGTTAGTTTGGTCCCCCTCGTGCGCCAGTCAAAGGCCCTTCTCCAACCGCCCTCCTCCGCCGACTCTGTCCTTCTTCCGTGATTTCCTTTTCGACCCTTCCTTCATTTTATTCTTGTCTATTCTCTCCTACGTTCGCCATTCTGATTTATTTCGTCTCTGTTTGTATTTTCATTTGTCCGTACGTACACACGCAAACATTCGAATACTCCTAGCATTTGCTCGCGTGTGTGTGTGTGTGTGTGTGTGTGTTTTACGTAACATTAGATTGATGTTGTTGTGTGTGATAAGATTCGATTTGTTGTGATATCGATCTAGCTGTTCACGCTGGATATTAATTCCTCGTTGAATATACGTATATCTGTAATGAATACGTTTGAAATTTTATCAATGCAACAGTAGTGGCAATAGTGTCTCATTAGAGCGTGAATGAATTTTACAACGTGTTGTATAAAGAAGTTCTTGCACGATGAGCGACTACAGTGAAAATCGCGGCAACGTCATCGATCTTTATAATAAGCCGGCAAATTAAAATTCTCCGACAACTTGTTCGACAATGTGCAATCGACACGTTACGCCGAGGAATATCGCGAAAAATCGCACAATTCGCGACGAGGAAACGGGACGCGTTAATGGGATAAGCTGGCGGAACGATCTCGAGCGGAAACGAATGCTCGAAAGGTAAAGAGAGCAACGGAGCCTTTCAATTCTCGAACGTTCGTCGGACAATCTGATCCCCCTCCCAGCCCCGTTTATCAGAGTCTCTGGAGAAATCAGAGCTTCCGGCGAGTCGACTTAGGGAATTCTCGCTTGTTGAATTCGATAAGAGCGCCCGTTGGAAATCCATCAGGTCTGGCGATACACCTATTTATTCGCAGTTGGGCTCGCCGTCGAAACAGAACCATCGTGATTTCGTTAGAACTTCACTCGAGCAACTGTCCGCCATCTAAATAGGCCATCTAGTTTCTGTGTAACGCGTTCTCGGATCCGATCAAGATAATATTTTACGCAACCGTTGATCGTTGTCGATCTACAATTAAGCGTAATTACAATAATCCAATGTACTCGTCTTTTCCTTTTTTTCTGCAAGATGGAGATATTTCGTGATTTTACAAGCACGTGTCGTTTTGAACAGACCATTAATAATCTAAGATTATGCTCCATACTATGATCGCAGCTTTTTCGATTCTTGACTAACGTTTCAACGTTGCTTGTGCAAAACGTAATTAAACTTCAGCCTACGAGCGATTTTTATATTTTTCTACGTAAGAAAAATATAAATCCATAACTTTGTGAAATAAAATGGACAAAAATATGTCAGAATAAATGAATACTTATTGTCAGTACAAAAGATATTAATTGTCACAGATAATACGTATGCCAATATCAATATCAAACATTCTTTAATCGGATATTTTTATGAAAAATTAGAAACTGTAGAAATACAGAAGATGCAAATACACAAAATACATAAAATTTCGTCCTTTTTAATTAATATTTGTAAACTTGGTTCCTCTTCTTTGCTCGACGCAATTGAAACAGCAAAATAAGAATTATACAAACATCTGTATTTTTAAACAAACAATGTTTTCCTGTCGAGATCATATAGTTTGTTCAAAGGGAAACTTTCACTAACTGAATTTCATCAACTCGAAGTAAAATCAGCTGTGGAAACTTCCGAGTATCTCTTGTCGTGGGTTAAACGCGGCTGGAAATTGGCGCGCGCGCGCTTTTATCGCGAGGTCCGTTTCGAGTTTCCGGCCGCACGGCAAAATCTCTCGTGGCTTCGCGCGAGACTCCCCGGAACTTGTTGGAATTTCAAGAATATCAAGATACCGGAAAGTTGGCCGGGTTAGTTGGAAATCCCTGGAACTCTGGGCTGGTTTTAACCGAAAACCAAACATCAAGACGTTTCGAGTTCGCGATGACGAGAAGTTAAACGGCAAGTGCATCTAGTCGCGCAGATCCTGCAAAAACACGGGAACTTGGGGCTGCTGGAAACCCCTCGGTAGCGTTCGAATCTTCCCGAGGTCGCCGAGCGAAGTTCCGTGAAAATTTTAAGAATTATGCAACTGCGGAGAAAGTTGGGAATTTCGTGCTCTTCGACGTTGCCTCGTGTCGCGGCAAGTGACGCCTTCCGGTTCGAGACTGCCAGATAAATAAGAAAACTTGTAAATAGTGAAACTTGAGAAACAGTTCCAGATTTCTCTCTCTTTTCTTTTTTTTTTTTTTTTTCAAGTCGTCAGACCCGGCGAGAAAAGTTGCGACGAAGTATTCGACGTTTCTGGAAACTAAACTCTTTCGATATCGAATTTCGTTGATGAAGAAATCGTTTGCTTTCCCGATAACGAACGCTTGGAAAGTTTCAACAGGTTTTTAAACTCGGACGGAACCTCGGTGCTGATAAACGAGGAATTAAAAACGTTCGAAAATAGAAAAGTATTATAATCCGAGGAAATGAATATTTCGGTGAATGTTTACGGAGGAGAGTTTCGTGAAAACAGAAATAGAAACACGGGGGATTAAGCGTGTAAAATACTTTAGGATGTGAAAGAAGAGATCAAGAGAATGAAATAGATGGTATTAGTCACCTAAAATTTCCACAGTGAATGCCAGCGGCATTTATTTAAACCCAACTAAACGACAACTAAGAACTTCTAAAATAGAAAAATTGGTACACGATAGTTTACGCGACATCGAGCGTGAAAACAAACAAAATGTTCAACAATACGAGAATTAAGGAGAGATAACTCGTCGAAGGGATTAAAAGTAAGAGGGCAACAAAGCGTGGAGGTAAGAATGCCTGGCGATACTTTCGTAGATACGCATCCGCAATCTTGGTGCCGCGATCGAGGCTGGAATACGGAATGACGAACGGGTTCGAAGGCCGGACGAAGATTGCGAGTCGCGATAATCCGGTGGCGCTCGATTAAAAGCCGCGCGGCGGTCAGCCAACGGAACGTGGCGGAAGTACGAGAGAGGGAGCAGCCGAGTAACGCTCTAAGCCGGGTTAAGCCGCGGCTTAAATGCTCGCCACACGGCGAGAACTTGTTCGGTCTGGGGTTCGCA